GATACTATAGAAAAATAGCATTATTTATTTTGTAAGAAAGAATTTGAGTGAATTTACAGTTAACATGTTCTGTACCAAAGTACGTTAATCAATATTCCCTTTCTTGAAATTTTCACTTTGTCTTCATTTTGTCTTCCACACATTTCTATAATGAGTACCTGCTTTCCACAAACCTGTGTTAATTGCTACATGTTGACAGTGAAACTATTAAGCATGGTGATATGACTCATTAAAAAACGGGTATTGAAAGTTAATAAATGTTGGAGATTAAAAAGATTTTTTATTCTGATTATTCAACTTGATTAGCTTTCAAATGACTGAGTTGATGTCATTCAGTGATTTGTTGCATGAAATATGCACTTTATTGCAATTTCATTATTAACAAGCCTTGATTTGCATGACATATACTTTAATCATAAACAATTTAATACAGATATTGACTAAAATAGAATCAACCAAAAAAGAAGAAATCCTATTTTGCATAATTTTCAGATAGCATCATCATTGTTTTTTATAACAAAGAAATCAAATATACTGACTTGAATAATTAAAAAAATTTGTCATGGCTGACATTACATTTTTTTAAGATCAAATTCTTAAATGTTAAAATTTTTACCCTTCTTAATTTTACTAATAGAAAAAAAAAGGCATTTAAGAAAAAAAAAAAAAAAGAAAAAAAAAATTTATTTACCCAAACAGAAAAAAAATCAGCTATCCAAAAAAAAAAAAAAAAAACTGATCTAGTTAAATCAATAAATCTGTAAACTAATGATGAAAAAGAAAATTAATTTACAAAATAAAGATTTTCTTTTTAACATAATCTTTCTTGTCAATGCACTATATTCAGTGGTAAATATTAATCACGTACATCAAAAATTATAGAGTGGAAATTTCAGATCTAAATTCAGCTATGTTTCAGGCTGCAGACGAATCAATATACCATATATGTGTGTGTGTGTGTGTGTGAATGAATATGAGTTTGGTTGATTTTATGACATTCAACACTTTTGGAATGATTTAATTTCAAATTTTTTGTAGGGTGAGAATCAGGTATAATATTTAGCCGTAATGGTCAAACAGACTAGACTTGCTAATCACTGCCTCATGCCAAGGTAACCATTTTATATATATATATATATAACATTCTTTGATTAATTCATGATTAAATATCTATTGGCAATTTCTTGAGAAATTCTGAGTGCCTTGACACACATTGAATTCTACAATGTTTACATATTTCAATAGGTGTTATTAAATTTGTATCATATATATATGTATGTGTGTGTGTGTGTGTACATGTATATATATATATATGTGTATATACACACACACACACACACACGGGTGATATGAAATATTCTTGGCACAAGTAAGAAGGTATTCTAAACTAAATTCTGATGTTTGGTCATTTGATAAAATTTTGTGTATGTGTGTAATCACCCAAAAAACTGGAACACGGCAAATTTAAAATATTTTGACCTATAAAAGTTATTACTACATACTGTTTCATATTATTTGGACTGATTTCCTGGTTACTGTTTCAACAGAGAAAAGATAAACATTATAGAAAAATCTCACTTACAATAAGTAATGAAAATGATAAGCCAACAAATATATAAAAGATACATAATAATAACCGTGATAAGCCAAGATGTGCGCACATACAACAAAGGAAAAATCCATCTTTGAAAGTGTGTATGAGTGATGATGAAAAAAAAAAAAAGAGCATGAGATGGACATTTTTTTTTTTGTTTTTTTGTTCACTTTTAACATTGGATAATAAATAATTGAGCAGCATTTCCTAACCAGACAAAAATCTTTATCAAAAAAAAATTGTCACAAAATAAAATAATTCTGTTTATGATCTGAGAAGATGAGGACACCTGTTTCGTGAAATAGACACAAGCAAAAATGTACATCCAGAGATGTCTAAATCCACTTGGCAACAGCTGGATGTTACAGATCTCATGCGTCATATGTTTCTCTATTGTTGTACTTCATTTAATATTATTTACATTCCCCAAAACACTGATATTCAATAAAACCAATGTCTATTTGTAAACTAGTTTACCCATGCCATAAAATCATTTTAAGTCCTTACTATTTTTAAGTCTTTATTTGTGAAGCTATAAATAGATCAACATAAGAGAGATAAGTCTACTACAGAAAAAGTTACTGACATTACAAAAAACAAAAACAAAAAAACGATTAATATATAGTAAGATAATCATCCTATAAGCAGCATTTGTTTTATGTCAGCTATCTTATTAAAATAGCCATATTATAAATGATAATGAAATAGAAATTCTTCTGCTATTAGTACAGTATAATAAATATAATAGTATATTTAAATATTTTGTTTACCTTTTCTTATTAGTTTAGTGTTCAAAAACAATACATAAGTTTGCATTTATATAGGTAAGCCCATTGTGAATAAGACAAGTTCACACCTGTTTTTATTTTCTGCCTTATGAAATAAGAAAACTTGATAATCAGGGCTAGATTATCTTTTAGGCTAGTATAAGCCACAGCCTTGGGCCCCTCAAGACTTTATAAAGCAATGATTTTAATTTTCAAGATGTTATAACTTTTAAATAGTTTCATAAACCTAAAAATTATATACCATATGACAAACTCATATTTATTTTGATTATTTTATTGTTATAATGCTGGTTATAAAAAATCTGTTTTTTATAAATGTGTGCATGTTATTTGTATATTGCTTTTCTTACATAGTAAAATTTGCTAAGCATAAAATAGGCAGTAAATGGTTAACTAAATTTGTGTATGTATGCATGTGTATATATATATATATATATATATATCAACTCTTAAATAAAGTAGAGCTGTACGTAAGTTGAGTTAAAAAGATATTATTTATTATCTAAATAATGTATGTATATTTTGTAGGCACTAGTAAAGGCTTTTATCATTATTATTAATATTAATAATAAAAGATGTGTGACCGTACATTATTATATACTGACTTAGTTGAACTAGTACATTTTGATTGTTAACATTCAAGTAAATTAATGTATCATAAAGATAACCGCACATCTAAAAAATTAGATTAGTGCATTTGAGTTTTATTGCTAAGTAGTAAATTGAAAGCTAGAATCATAATACGCTTTAGCAATGTTTAACATTTGTGCCCGCAAAAAAATGGTGTGTCAAAAGGACGGTTATTCCCTTGACAATGCTATTATTATGATATACACTTTTAACTCACTTGGCAATGCTTATTTACAAGATTATAAAAATATGTGAGCCAAGTACACTGCAATATTTATTATTTACCTTTAAAACAATAAACAATAAATAAACAATATTTATTATTTACCTTTTAAAACAATAAACAGGAAGTCAAAATTGTATACAGTAATAGCAGTGTCAAGGGAATAACTGTCCTTTTGACTCACTGTGTTTCTGCAGGTACAATGGTTAAACATTGCCCACTCTTTTTTATTTAAAAAAAACAAACTAAAAAGAAATGGCTGAACACTTGATTAGATTCTTTTTATGCTTGTAAAATATTTTTTCATGAATAATAATCTACAAAGATAGAAATTTGTTATTTTATTATTGAATTAAATTTACCTTTCTAAAAAGAAAAATATTTTAAACCAGACTGTTACCCATCATATGACAGAATGTTTTAATAATGGGAATATACTATTGTCATATTTGCATATTATCAGGTTTTGCTCATCCATACTTCAGCTATTTCATTAGATGCTTTTAAATTTAAGTCGAGGATTTCATCATATATGTGTTAAAAAAAAAAAAAAAAAAAAAAAAAGAGCTGTCTACATAATTTTTTTTTCTTCAAAATCCAGCTAAGAAATCATTAAATTAAATAATTCTCTTTGAATCTTATATTTCTATAGTGAACTTCAGTTTTGGAAGATTTTTAATTACAGAGTCTAAATTTTTTGTCGGCAGAAATCAATCATGGCATAATTGAAGTTAATAATGGATGACAAGAAGACATTAAAACATCCTAAAACCCGCTTTAATTGCGCAAAAGTATGTTTTTATGACTAATCTTTTGCAATGAAAATTAAATATATTTAAATAATTGCAATACATTTTAACGTTTTTTATTTTAAAAAATGAATGTGATCATGGCTACAATTTCTAATGATTTCGGTTCTGCCTAGTTGAGACCATTTTATACAGAGTTCTTTTAAGTTATGAAAGCAAAATATGAAAGGAGTGTCTGGTTTACACTTTTAGATATAAACAAAAACATAGCATAACGTTTTGTGCGTTACAAAGCAACAGGACACTGGCTTTTATATACAGTTTAGAAATAATTTTAATTTTACTTTTTTTTGTTTTCTTCCATTATAATGTTTTTTTTTATTATTTATTTATTTTTTTAAGGAAATATATATTTTTATGTTAGGCAGAACCCAAATATTTGAAAATAATATTGTTAAAAGGTAATATATTAAACACGTGCAATATGAGAGACATCTCTTCACAAACAGTATAACAAATACAACATATAAAACAAAACTTTTATTTTTATCTGACTCTCAAAATGTTACTTAAGATAAAAGAAAGAAGCTGCATGCTATATGATAAAAAGAGATCAAAATGATGTTTAAAAAAGAGCAAAGTCCTTTAAAAACACATGGTAATCATTGTCATCATCAAAATTATCACTAGATTTATTTATTCATTGAATTACGAATATCATAGAATTTGTAATGATTGATTGTTTTTTTTGGTTTTTTTTTTCTATAGCTTATCAACCCTTTGCAGGTTATCTAAAGCCAGAAAATATTTTTATATTGTAAGAATTTTTTTTTTTTTGAGATAATGATTTTAGAGATACAAGTCTTAGCTGGGGAGGGAGGGAGAAGAAGTGGATTCATACCTTTCCTAATGGTACTTGTGCGTAAGTGAATACAACAAACACAACTGGAATTGAAACATGGCTCTCCGATTAATGATTACAAGCTATTATCCATTACACCACCTGCACATCCAAGCTTACAGTACCTGGTATTCCCAAGCGATTACCCATTTAGGTACTGGCCAGGTTCAACATTGCTTAACTTTGGTGACTGTATGGGAACCAATGTTTCAATGTGATATGGTCACAAGCCTAATGTGTAACAAATTAATGAATTTTTAATGTCAATAGATAATAAAGAAAAAAGGGAAATACTGAACCCTTTGAAAGTGGTCCTGTAAAAAAAAAAAAAAAAAAAAAACCCATCCTGGAAGGCACTGTACCAGGTGAAACATTGAATTCTTTGAAGACCTCCTAATGACAAAATATAGATATGAAAGTAGAATGATAAGCCAGTCTTGCAAAGGCCATTCAGTAAGATTCAATGCTAAGAATTAAAAACAAAAAAAAAAAACAAAAAAACAAGGAACTGGTCTTTTGGAATGCCTTCTGAAAAATGTCAATCACAAAAATACATTTTATTTTTTAAATTTTTATTTATTATCACTTTATCTATACTGTCAAAAAAAAAAAAAAAAAAAAAAAAAAATAATGGCCATATTTAAGTAAGTTTTAAATTTTATTGGCTATATTTTCTGCTTGAATAATCTAAGATTTTATCTAGACAATTAAGAACTTTATCAAAAGTAAAATCATCCAAAGATAGCTAAACAGAAAACCAAAAAATTAATTAGCAGCCTCATCTCACCTATTTATGTATGAATTTGTTAAGCTATGTTTGCTTTATTGGTGTTGAGCAATGTTTCTTGTTAGCATAACAACAGAATAACTCATAACTAAGGAAAGTTGTGGGTGGGATTAATAAATATATAGAATTACATATTATAGGATAGATTATTATTCTAATGTAAAAAGAGTCTATCCTTTTAAAGCATTGCATTTGAGGTGGTGTGGGGAGAGAGAGAGAAGAGGAGGTAAAGCAGAAGAAAAAAGATAAAGGAATGCTAAGAGTTGAGGAAGATAGGATAGGAGTGGGAAGGGGGAGGAGTTAAAATACTAAAGAGAGAAAGAAAGAAATGATAAAAGTGGAAAGAGGAGAAATAAAGAATTAGAGAAGGGGAAGAGAGTGAGGAGGTGGTAAAGTATCAAGATAGAAAGAAAAGAAATTATAGGAATGGGGAGAGGAGAGAGAAGAGGAGGTAAAGTGCTGAAGAGAGGAAGGGAAAAAGATTAACAAATGATAGGAGTGGGAAGAGAAGAAGTAAATAATGAGAGCTGTAGGTATAGTGCTCAAGAGAGGAAGAAAAAAAGAAATGCTGGGAGTTGGGGAAGACAAGTTGGGGAGTAGGAAGAGGAGAAATAAGGAGTAAGAAAGTAGGAAAGAGAGGAGGAGGATGATGAGTGCTCAAGCTAGAAGAAAGATAAAGAAATGCTAAGAGTCAGTAGAGAAGAAATAGGGAAAAAGAGAAAATAGCAGAGTCAAAGAAAGGATTTGAGAAGAAAGGAAACATTAAAGGAAAAGAAAAAAAAAGAGAATTAGTGATCTCTTCAAGTTGACTTAGTCAGAAAAGTAGTCTATTATATATTTGTAAATGCTTGTTTACAAAGGACCATGCGATAAATGTCAAAATAGGTTCGTTTGGACTAAGTTTTCTTTTAAAATGTCATGACCACATAGGATTTCATTATGAAGGCTATATGAGATAAAAAAAAAAAAAACATTAGATAAGAAAACAACCTGGTAAAAATGCAATGAAAATCAATTTCAAATATTCTACAAACTTTCAAAAACAATCAACACCTATTTAACACCCCCAAAAAAGTGATGATTCCTAAAACATTTGGTTTTTAAATCCAATGTTATCATGCATGAAAAATGCCAAACTAAAGATTGTCTATCATGAAATGATTATCTGAAAATATTTTCATGAAATTCAGTTGTCTCAGATTTTAACAAATTAATTTTCTTTGAATTATGTACCTTACTTACAAAAAAATATATATATTCAAATACTTGAATATGTTTTTTTAAGCTTTTAAATTATTTCCTAAGTGAATGCTTTTGTTTCTGGGCAATGCTGCTACTATTTAATATTAATAATATTAATGATGTATTTCTTCCATCTTGTAAAAAAAAAAAATAAAAATAAATAAAAATTGGATTAATTTGTTTTTTCTTTTTGGCAAATTCAATGTTACCAGTTTTACATATATATATTTTTAATGTGCCATAAAAAATGAGAGAGAGAGAAAAAGTAGTTTAAAATTAATTTTTACAATCTCCAAAACAAGAGAGAAATTTTAGAGAAAATAAAAAAGAAAGCAAACATTAATTGCACTCATCCCATTATGTTGAATAATTTTAAAATTCTTGTGTAAATATTTTTTTTAAGTTCAAGATTTTAACGTTTGTTTCAAAGTCATTGATTTAATTTCAAATCAGAAGTCATAGAAAAAAATTTTTTTTGAAAATTTTCCAAGAATGTACTAGAAATGGGTTTCTTATACACGCATTGTTTTAAATAAATAAATAAAAAAAAAAAAAAATCAAAAAAAAAATCACCAGTGCACCATGGGAATGGTTAAAATTTTTTATCAAGTATGGTGGTATATAATGTAAACATGGAAAAAGTTGTAAGACAGATTCTTGGGGTAGAATTATGTTAGTCAAATTGCAAGGTTGTATTTTTAAATTAATTTACGAGAAATAATTTACATTTAAGACAATCAACTAAAGACAAAGAAGGATTTTGCATGGAACTTTTAAAATCAAAAGAGAAAAATTCTCCTTTTTTTCTTTCTTTATAACAGCAGTTGTTTATTGGCATTTAGAATGTGAATTTATCACTGGATTCCCTCAGTAATAATTGCATAAGTGCATTTTTCTTTTGTTAACCACTTTTCCTGAGATCCAAGATAAATAATGAATTAAAAAAAAAAAAAAAGTGTAGGCAGCTTTTACTTCTTTTATTGGTTCTAGAAAAGCCTTACTGCTAGAAAAATAGATATTAGTTCCTGGTTTAGAAATTTTATAGGAATTGATTATTTTCAAATATTCCCTTCCACCATTAGGTTTTTAAGATAAATATAATTTTAAAAAATTAAGCTTAAACAAATATCATAGTAATCATATCATAGTAATATGAGGCCACTACCAAGTTTGAACACACTACTCATTAAACAATACTACATCTTACCAATAATGGTTCTTACATTTAGTGTAGAAAATTTGTCCAATTTTTAATTTTCATTCCTGCAAAACAATGGATTGTCAAAAGGATGGTTTTTCCCTTGACACTGATATTATTTTAACTACCTCCACTCCTCGGCAATGTTTATTGTTTTAAAAAGTGATGATTAGAATTGTAATAAAACCTAAACATGATGAAAGTGAATTTATACATTTATATATATATATATATATATATATATCCAAGTATAGGATTGGTTTATACGAAATAAATTCCAATAACCAACAAGTACTATTCTTGAAAGAGTGCTCAATACAGAGTAGAGCATATATAATTATTTATTCGAAAATTATAACATAAATATGTTATAAAATCACTAAAAAAAATAACCATTTTGTTTCAATACTTCTGGTGTCTTATAAAGTCTTATCAACACCATCACTTGATAAGACACCAGAAATGTTGAAACAAAATGGCTATTTTTGTAGTGATTTTATAACATATTTATGTTATAATTTTCGAATATATATATATATATATATATATATATATATATATATATATATATATATATATATATATTTTATACATTCAGGAGGATTGTGCACAAAATGTAGGCAGACCCCTACTCAGGTATAAAGACAGAGGTAGAAGCGTACGTCTGTCAGTGTACCACTTACTTCTTTTGAAGCCCTAGCCGCTGACCATAGAAAATGGATGACAGTCTGCCATGATGGTATAAAGAACTTCTAAAAATCTTATTTGGTTCATGTTTGTGATTTAAGATCTAACATCAAGATTCAATCAAACTTTCCAAAATGTTCCACTCAAAATCCTGTCATCTGCACTAAATGCAGCTGATGTGTAAATCAGCAGCTGGACTGAAGTGCTATTTAAGGCATATAACATGCAAAAATGAACTGAAAACACTAGATTGAATATTATATAAACATAGCTGTTTTTTTGGTTTTTGTTGAGGAAGGACCAGGATTAATTTTACACAAAGCAATGTGGGTCCTGCCTTATTTGTCATAATGATTTGAGGCGAAGTTTTACAGGGCCAGATGCTATTCCTGATGCCCAACTCAGACACTGACAGTAGTCCAAGTGCATTGAGTGTTTTTATTGAGACACAATCTCTTGGAAGGTTGCCCTTCAAGGCTAGAGACCCCAATCTATATCTATATATATATATATATATATATATATATATATATATATTACATACATACATATGTTGGTTACATAAGAACAGTTATAAAGTTAAAAATTTGAATCAAGATTGAGATTATAATTTTACATCAGGATGATAAGCTTATTAATCTAGGATCTCATATATATATATATATATATATATATATATATATATATATATGTATATATGTATATATGTTTTAAGTTTTTTATTATATCTAATTTTCTCCTTTTAAAATTAACATTATACCTATTTCTTCTCAGTACTGAAAAATATTGACCATTTATTGCCAATTACTAAAAAATATTATTATAGTATTACCAAAAAAAATTATTACTAATTACAAAAAAAATTTTATTATATTGTTACTAATTCCTAAAAGAAAATTACTATATTATTACTAAGTGCTAAAAAAATTATTATACTATTACTAAAATAAAATTAATTATATTATTACTAATTACTAAAGAAAATTTTTATTATATTATCACTAATTACTAATGCAGTGTGTTATTAGTATTTTATATTAACTGAAGCTGCCATCATTTGGAAATGTGAAACTGTCATATTCTCCATACCCTTCAAAAATACTTTTTTTTCATATTATATATTCAGAATAAAAACAAAATAAAGTGAGTCATCCCTCCCCACCCTGACAAAAATAAATAATGAATAATCACCACAGCAAAAATATGAAACGCTATCCTGAACTAAAAAAAAAGAAGACTAACAATAATTTCCACCCCAAAGTCTGTAAGTTTTTCTGGGGACTGTCAGAAAAAAAAATGCTGTAAGCAAATCCCCCTGTTCATAATTAATGCAATGACAATGATAAAAAGAAGAGCCAGCCATGTTCAATTAATAAAAACAAATCTCTGTTTTAAGTGGATCATTTTCAAATAGCCATCATCAATTCTCAAACAGAACTATTTTACAACTTATTGCTTCCATTTATCTATATTATATATATATATATATATATATATATATATATATATATATATATACACGTATAAGGAAAGAATAAAGTATCCATTGGAATTTCTAGACCAGCTGAACTGGTTTAGCCAACAACAACCTATGGAGAGTGTGTTACTCTCATGTTGACATACAAATCTGTTTGAGATTTTACAAATTATGAAGTGTTTGTAATTTCTGAACAACATTCAGGCAGCAGTCACTTCCTCACAATTTTAGTCATGTAGATTAAAGAGGCAAAAATCTACAATACAATCTTGTGGTTCTCCCTTATTCCAACAGTCCACCATAATGTGAAATTGAAGAGATTCTTAAAAAACAAAGATAGTAAGGATCACTATACTAATAAATCAATTCTATGAAATGAATAAGGCTACAAATGACTACTGCACAGAGATTAAAGTATAGAACTGAAAACTGTAGCTACAATCCCAAGAGATTTGGGTTTCCAAGCTAAATTGGCTTGAAAAAAAAAATTACACACACACATATATATTATTATATATAAAAAAATGGGGCATCTGCTCAATTGTTATGCATTAACATTTGGAGTAGTAAGTTATATATATATATATATATATATATATATAGATATATAGATAGAGAGAGAGAGTAATTCTTAAAAGATTCACAACTACTCAATAGCAAACTGTTGCTTGAAAGTTTGAAGAGGAGACGGGTGTTGGCAGTCAGTTTATATATTTGGAGATTCCACATCAAAAACTATTAAGCAACTTTCTTTTTATTAATAAGTACTTTCAATAACTTGCAGATCTCACCAATCAGTTTAGTTTGTTAAATGCATTATTGGAAGCATGGTGGAAGTGGGGGTTGCTGGCTCTTTCTTTTTATTTCTTAAATAAATAAATAATTACTAGATGCCTTTGCAAGTTACAAGGCACTGTAAATTTTTTTTTTTTTTTAAATACAATGGAAATTTTAAGAAAATGTTACAAATGAATACATCTGCCTTTCATATTTCTTATATACAAGAAATACATAAATGCATTGAGGAAAAACACAAATGAAAGAAAACAGAA